GGGGCTACCATGGTGCAGGGCGGGGTCAAGGCAGCAGGGGCGGGGCTATGAGGGTGCTGGGGCGCGGCCACTATGGTGCAGGGCGGGGTCAAGGCAGCAGGGTGGGGCTATGAGGTTGATGGGGCGGGGCTACCATGGTGCAGGGCGGGGTCAAGGCAGCAGGGTGGGGCTATGTGGTTGCTGGGGCGGGGCTACCATGGTGCAGGGCGGGGGCAAGGCAGCAGGGTGGGGCTATAAGCTCTGGGAGGGGGGCCAAGGCAGCAGGGGCAGGGTTATTAGGGTGCTGGGGCGGAGTCAAGCAGCAAGGGTGGAGCTTAGGGGTGCTGGGTGTGGCCAAGTCCGCAGTGGCAGAGTTATGGCAATGGGACCAAGGCCACCAGGGGCTGCAGAGGCCAGGTGGTGGATGAGGTTCCCGTCCACGGCTGCAGAGATAGGGCCATGAGAGGCGTGGGCTGCGCTATGGCTTCAGGGGTGAGGCTGAGGGCACTGCAGGGGCAGGGCCTAGCCACAGGGCCAGGAGTTGGGCTGCAGGAGCAGGGCGGTGGATGGAGGCCAGGCCCTAGCTGCAGAGGTGGGGCGATGGGGGGGTGGGGCCGCAGCCATAGGGGTGCGGCTTTGGCTAGAAGAGCGGGGCCACACGGGACACCGGGCAGTGGGGTCCGGCTACAGGTGGGTCAGGCTGCAGGTGTGGAGGTGAGGCTATGGGGACCCCAGGGGAAGGGCTGGGCAGGGCTGTGGGGTGCAGGGCTATGAGGGCCTCAGGGACCACAGCCAAGACCATGGGGGTCAGTAAGGCGTGGCCATGATGGGAATGGGTTGGGCCTCAGGGAAGGCAAGGTTATCGGTCCCAGCACCCTCCAATCCCCCGGGCTGAGTAGGGGGTGGAGGGTGGAGGGTGGAGGTGGGGGTAAGACCGGGGCGGGGCTTAGGGTGTTGTCATGCAGGGGTGGAACCTAGGGAATGCAGTGGTGAGTGTGGGAGCTGCCCAGGCAGAACCTGGATGTTGGGGAAGGCCATGGGGGCGGAGTGGGCGGAGCCAAGAGCGGGGTCGGGGGGCGCAGCAGGGACCCTTGGACACACACACGTCAGTTACATTCGTTCTGCCTTGTTTGGGCATTGGGGAAACTGAGGCCAGAGCAGCAAAGCTAAGCCACTCCCACTCTCCCTCCCTCTAAGTCCAGACCCCTGCCTCGACCAGCAGGGGCCTGGCGACTGTCCCACGTGTTCCAGGACACTGCGGGCTGCGGGCTGGGGCCACGGTCCTGGGAGCTCCGTAAAAGGGATAAGGGGAAGCTGTGAACTTTGGTGGCGATCCTGAGCCGGGCCGTGGGTTTCCTGGGAGGTCCTGGGGCGGGGCCGTGGATTTGGGCAGCAGGGATCCTGGGGCGGGGCCGTGGATTTGGGCAGCAGGGATCCTGGGGCGGGGA